TTGTCGTCCTGCTGAAGGAAGCACCGTCAACGTCAATCACACCATGCGGATGGTCGTACAGCTCACCAAGCAGCTCCTTCTTGCGCCGTGGGCAGTTGACATGAGGGAAGGGCGGAGGAGGATGGTTTACGGAGGGCGGCAAGCGAGTGGAGCAACAGAAGAAGGGACGACGGGCCGGTCACGCCGCGTCACCCATCCGAGTCAATCCTTCTCTCGTCTTGACAACCACTCGCCTCAGCACTGTGGCCTACGCAGCTCGACGGCACGATTACGACACAATATACTGCTGGTGCAAGCTATATGCCTTCACCGATTTGTAGCCTGCAAGGCCCGAGCCGCCGAGCGCGAATTCTCAGGCTAAGATTCTCGGGGCGAGAGAACTAGTACCGCGCGACATACACGCAACACAACGGATATCTTGGCAACATTTCGTCTCAGCTTCTCCCTCTGCAACCTCCCTGTGCAACCTCCGAAAAGCACCCAGGACCAGTACCGAAACGCTGCGCAAGTAGTTTCGTGGCGCTCCGAGTTGTGCCGGGAGTTCTCTCGCGCTGGGTGCTAGTATGCCAGACAGGTTCACTACTGTGCGTTGCGCAACTCTGCACCCACTTGCAGACCCTGACGGTATCTTTTCCCAGTCCAGGCCGCAATTCCTTCCTCACGCATTTATTTGGATCCAATGACCACGAATACTTATGCCTATGGGACTGTGTGGCCCAACTCCCCGCTTGAACGTCTTTCATCTCTTTCTGGCTTGTCTGGCGACATCCGCCCCCGATTCGCTCTCGCAACCCGATTGGGATACGGGATAGCGATTGGCACGGTCGAGGGGTGTTTCGCATGTGGATGCTCGGATCTTTAGGCTCGTAGAATCGCTACTAATGCCGCTGACGGTGCGTAGACCTTGTCTTTCCCCTTATATCGCACTGACAATCTTCTTTTCCAGTTCCGTTACCATCCTTACCCGGCAACAACGCTGCACAAGCAGTCCTGGAGAGCCTGAAGCCCTTGTAACCGGCCACAATTCCAGTGCCCCTCGCACAGTCGCACTCGACACGAACGACACCATTGGCCAAGTTACCGACAAGCGGCAATCTCACCCCCGAACACCAGCTTACACGCTCCCCAGCCCTCCTTGCTCTTCTCCGTTAGTGCCATTCCCTCCCACATCAACTCCTTCGCTATCCGGTTGAGGCATTTGCGTCCCGGAGAAGATAGTCTAGGGCAGCGACAACACCGCCTAAAGCCGTAACGAGTGGTCTGTCATCTCCTGTGCGGGCGGCCCCGCTTTCTGAAGGGTTCTCCTCGAGGAACAGTTGTCGAGGCTGTTCTTGAGACGACCGTCGTCTCGAGTGGGTGCAGCAGGTGGTCTTGACCTGGCTCGAGTTGAGCGGGTGCCGGAGCGGATGTTGCTGTCGATACGGGGCGCTCTTGACTTGCTATACTCTTTTCGTCCACCTGATACTCCTCGCTACAAATGCACCGATTGGACAAGCAGTGATAGGAATGTATCATATGTACTAGTAACGACGCGGAAAGGAGGGTGAAAGTTATCATGTTGTGAAAGCAGGTCTGAAGATAAACCCCCCTTACAATACACCTATCGAGCAGATTGTATAACCCAAATATAGAAAGCATGTTATCGACAAGCAGCGATAAAAAAATATATACATACTGGATTCCAGAAGTATAATCATGAAGTATAATATCTTCTCCACGCGACCTAGCACCACCCGTCAAGGACACTCAACAGGCAAGGAAGGACGGAGGAGAAGAATCCCAGCCCCCGTGTCTCGCCAAACAGCATCGTCTTGTTGAGCGCTCGCCCGACCGTCGGCACAGTGCGCAGACGCTGTCCCTCCTCCAATCGGCTCAAAACTTTCTCCCGAGCTCCCCACCACTTGTCCGCCTCCCCAGATGACCTCCGCCAATGCATATGTCGCCTTTCGACAAAGAATCGCCACCCCTGCCTCCCATACGGCTGCCAGACAAAACGCGCTCGACAGCAGCCATCCCCCTCGAATGGCGGCGTAGAAAGAAATGAGTAGGAGGGGACAGGTATGGGGCACAGCGAGATACACTCGATAGACCGCCAGCTGCCGCCTTCTGCGAGATATATTGCCGTCTTTCGGTCGGCGGGCGATCACGTGACTTGCCATTTTGGGAAGTCGACACCGATTTCATGGGGAGGGTGCACGCGTGGGCGGGGAGGAGTCCGGACGGGGGAGGAATAAGAGAGGAGCAGGAAGTTATAGTCAAGGTGTGTGTGCGCAGTTGAGGAAGCTGGGATGGTCCACAAGCTTGACCCCGTGCTGTTCTCTCTCTCCAGGTCGGTCAACAGACAAGCTCGGAAATTCAGCCTATGAGCACAAGCATAGTCGTTTGTCCGCCGATGCGGGGATGACATCGCAGCAATAGATGGAGATTTGGGCAGCCGTATATGCTATTTGCTCCCCGACGATGAAACGCTTCCTCGATTTGACAGAAGGAAAAGATGGTGTAGGAGCGTGGAGGTGTACCACGCAACTAGATAGGCTCGCTGGAGCGGTATCTGCTGCGTTGGGCAATATATGTGGTTTTCGAAGGGGTGACGCCGCCACAAGCAGAAGGAAAGCACGGAATCCGACCGCGGGCTGGTCAAGCAGAGGCGTTGGGAAGGTTGCCAGCCTTAACGGCGAGCATTACTTGCGTGTCGGGGAGGTTGTGCTGCCTGCAGACAGGACAGCGCGAACGCCGAAAGTCGATGTAGTGTTTGTCAGGTCGTGCCTCTTTGCGGAGTTGTTGCGTGAGCCAGAATGGGAGGGTTTGGCGGATCTGTTTGCGTTTGGAGTGCGCGAGAAGCTTGGCGGTGGCGATAGATATGACGAGGAACAAGAAAATTGGCAGGTGAGAAGCGGGACTTTGGAGGAGAAGGTCAAAACCAGGGTGTCAACAGTCAGATAGAGACACGCACATGGGTTCCTGAGCACACAGACGTGGATCGTCCAAAACTCTCCGCTCTGGCAGAAGCAGGCTTCCCTCGCCATCGTCTCCACACCGACATGTGGGGTTAGCCACGCCGATATCGACTATGGCGCTGAATGCGGGGAGCCAGGCGCAGTCGAATACGCTCCCAAAAGCCAGTGTGGAGGTGCTGGGCATGTTCGTGAGCTCGAATACCTCGTTGACGAGGAAAATAAAGACACACGCACCTTTCACGCCCACCAGCGCTCCCAAACTCTACCCGCCTGCCTCCTCCAACGATGTATTACGTTTGGCGCCGCCTGTTGCGGGTAGACCCCTAGCCGCGGCTATAGTCATCGCAGGCGATGGAGTCGGCCATGGTTGTCGTGGTGGAAGTGGAAAGGAAGATCGGTGTGGTCACATGTTCGGGCCGATCTCTGTCTTCCGCGACGATGACGGCTGAGAAATACTGCTTCCCCTCCCGTTTCGCCAACCAATCTTTCTCAAGCTTTCTCAAGCGGGCGCGATGGGCTAATACTGTGGCTGCTACCTACTCGCACGCGCGCGCGTCACGAATACTCTGCTTGACTCACCGACTCTGGATCCTGTTGGCACCAAAACGCGCCGGAGAGCCGCCAACAGAACGCTTCGCAGCCCTGCCCCAAACGTCTCCCGTAGCTGCTTCATCGGTACGCCCTCCTGTGTGCAAAGCTTTGCATCCTCAACGCGCCAGGGCCGCCAACACAACGGTTCCGCCATTCAACGTGTCTTATGAATGCACTGGGCGGTCCGACCGCCACCCCGCCATCCACATCGTCGAGTGGCATCTTGATATTCTGAAGTACTATCGACGGCATAACCCAGCCTGCGATCTACGTTGTAGCGCCGTCCTCCTCCTCCAGACGACCGTCATCACCACTGTCTCCTGGAACTTCGGTTCGTCCCCTGGCCGTTTGCCGACCCCAAGCTAGAGGAGAAGGTAATTCCAATCTGTTCATCCAGAACACGTCTGCTTACCTTGCATAGGCCTTCGTCCTCCACTCGAACCCGATTTCATTCGTAAGCCTTCAAGGTAATGTCGTAGTCGTTTTTTGGCCTTTGACTTGTACTTACTGACCGAGAACACTCGCGCTGGACAGCGGGCCTTCCGCGCTCCTGCCCCAAAATCAGCTCCACATTCTAGATCTGGCTGTTGAACGCTGACCTTATCACAGCCCCGTTCTCGCGTTGTTTCTTCCCTATACGACCGTCATAGGCATCGTTCCTGGTTCCTTCGCCAAACCCAAGCTGGAGGAGGAGTTAGGTCCCATCAGTTCATTCGAAAACACGTCTGCTTACTTTGCATAGGCTTCGTTTCCCGAATCGCCTCCCGGGCCACTATTGTTCGCAGACCTTCAAGCAAGCCAAGTTAGTACTCGTTCTCAGCCCTTGACTTGTGCTCACCGGCCAGCCGCGCTCGCTTGTCCGAGCCTTCTGATCTCGCAGACTCAAATCCACGACCCCACTCATCCACGTCTGTTCCCTCCGCATACCTTTTCCCTCCTCCGAGTCGTTGAGCTAGGCGTAAAAACTGGGCCACTATTCAGCAAACGGTGCGGGTGACGCATAGCATCCTCACCATTCGCGCCTGCTGACCGTCCCTGGACCCTACATAGTCGCGCTCGACAACGTCTACAAGAACTTGACAGTTAGCAAGAGAAGCGCTATGGGCGGCCGACAAACACACCTTGCTCGACCCTGTCCTCCCCGCGTTTCCAGCATCCAAGTCGCGCCTTTTCCCCGTTGGCGATTCCAAAGATGGTGCGTGTTCTCCTCGTTCTCAGGCTCGAGATTGACGCTGACTTCGTCGGTCTTTCTAGCGTTGATTTTGGGGTATTTGCAGGCGGCGCGGGCGGCAGGAGTAGTTCGACAGGCGTTAGAACGGCTCGGCCAATGGCAGTCGGCAGCCTATGAGGTAGCACTGGAGAGCAGACGGATTCCGCGTCTTGCCGTCGAGCGGTGGCCCGGCAAGCGAGCGCGGCCTGTTGCGGGGCCGTTCGCGGCCGTGCATTCAGCGCATGTTTGAAGCGGGAGCCCGTCATGTGGCCCGGGCCTGGGTGGGCGGGTCGGGGAAGCGAGCGGGAGAGGGGAGAGAGTTGATAAGCGACACGTGCCGTCGGGTCGCGGGCCCGACCGGCCGGTTGTCGCTTACCCTTCTGACTTCACCAGCACCACCGGCGTTGTCCTTGCGCGGGTCAGCGCCAATGCCCATGAAGACCGCTGCTGTTGGCAATGGGCGCGCGCTGATGCCTTCCGATGGCCCGGGCCTGGGTACTACAAGTGTCGAGTTATTCTTGAATCTTGATTGATGAGTAGTTACACGTCTTAGCGCCCGTCGTCCACCGCCTCTCTCCCACCCACATCATGCTCTCCCCCCGGACCTCCAGCCCTTCACTGTCCCCAAGACTCTACCATTGTGAGCGCTCCAACTTGAAGGCTACGAGTAGATAACCTAACCTGTAACTACTAGATGTCGCGCGCGCCCTGGCCGTGTCCTATATCCTATGCACCGTCTCGACGCAGCTGCCCGCACTTGTCGCATTTGCCCGCCATGGCAAAGACGGCGCCGTCGACGACACATATGTGAACACACATCTCGGTCCGTCCTCCGACATTCCCCGCCCGCAAACCCTGACGCGTGTACCAGCCGTGCCCCTGGTATTCACGATTCTCACCCCCATATACGCACTATGCCTCGTCTACGAAACAACCCTGTGGTAAGTATTTCAAACTCATCTGCCTCACGCTGCTCTCCTTTTACCCCGAGCACAGGATTCGCCCCGCCGAGCGCCCCGACCCGCTGCAGTTCGGCACCATCAACGTCCACCTGTACCTCTGGCTCTGCTGCGGCGTCGTCCCCGGCCTGTGGCCCCTCCTCCGCGCGCCGTCAGAATCGGACATGCAGCAGTGCACCAAGCAGTGGCCGTGGTGTCTTGTCCTGCTGCAGCGCAACCTCGGTCCGGCAGCCATCTAGATCGCCTGTGCGTCGGCCATGGCGCCTATTTTTCCTACGGAATCCTACCGCGAACCACTGCTGAGCTGCTCTCAGTGCTATGCGCGTCGATAGGCAGCTACCAGCCGGGAACGGAGTATTATTTGTTGCCTGCGTGGCGATATTACCCGGGGGGAAGGGAAACGGACGGCGACGCGGTGGACAAGACTGACGTCTTTCGAAAGAAGGTCGATTCATAGGGAGACGGAGAGGTAGGAATACAGTGAGGGATTACAGGTGTGGTCGTGGGGGTAGCATAATGGGAAAGATTAGGCTACGGTCCGTACGATACACGTCGACCTTTGGCGTTGTTTTGTATCAAAGACTAAGTAGTCTGAACCCGACTAGAAATCTTGAACTTCAGCGCCATAAAAGCATTCTGCACAAGGTGGTCAGCTCAGAAACACGCTGCGAGCAGCCCACACACCTTTGCCGTCCACCTTGGGCCCGGGCCGCCGCGACGCGCGATAGCCTGGGACGGGTAAAGGGAGATGGGAGCTCATCGCAGGCTGCGATCGGGGCGGTGACGGGGTCTACAGACTGCGAGCGTGTCGCTGTCGCGGCGGCGAGCGCGCGGGGATGGGCGATGTTCCCATAGCCGCCCCTTCCAACGTTTGACAAGCGCACCCACTAAGCCCTCGTTCGAGCCACTCTCCCTGTCCCTCCACATCATGATGCTCCGAGTCGCCCTCGTTCACAGCCCAGCCACCACCATATCCCGTTAGCATTTCCCCACCGGTACATGATTTGCTCATTGTCGACATTTGGCGGTAACCTCGTTGTTGGAGCAGGTCGGCAAACGGCTGGAGGGAGTAGTTAGCATAACAGGCCAGTGTAGATAGACTGGGAGGGACTTGCCGTTGGACCGGCAAGTGAGTGGCCGTTGCAGCCGCGCATTCGGCGCGTCTTGGCATGGGACGCGCTTGTGTGGCGCGGGGGCTGCGCTGGGCGGACGCGCTGGGTCGGGGAAGCGCGCGGAGATGGGGGAGGCAGGAGTGGTTCGTAAGCGGCACGTGCCTTCGGGTGACGGACCCGACAAGCCCGTTGTCGCTTACTCCGTGAGCCTGAGCCGCCGTCGTTGGCGTTGCGCCTGAGCGCGCGCTGTCGCCTGACGCTCCCAAATTACCACATCTAACCCCGTCTGTGTCAGTTGCTGCCCTGCGGGCGTTCAATGTTAATAACCTGCGTCTTTCGCGCCAGATATATGTGGGTCATAATCCATTATTTCTAGCAAGCTGCATCACCATCGCGCGCAGCCCCATCTCCTCCTCAAGCTGCGAAGAATCCATATCAGCATCGGTCAAGCCGCAAAACAACAACGTACCTCTCTCCGCCTGACGCGGTCCTCTCTTCCTGCGTCCCCGCCAAACACGCGGTCCATATCTTCGAGCGTCACACCCGCTGTTTCCGGCACCGTATAGGTGGCCCACAGATAGGCCACAAAGCACGCTGTGGCGAATGTGAGGAACGTCCCGCTGGAGAAGTTGTCAGTAGACGGTGATGTAGGCAGAACCTGAAGAAAGGGCAGACACAGGTGAGTATTCCATCATGATTGGTGTTACGAGCCCGATGAAGACTGAAGCAGGTCATGAGACACAACAGAGTAGACAGAATGACGGACAGTTGTTGCTCCAGTTGGAGGCAGTTGATAGAGCCACTCCACGGCCGCGCATCGACAGCGGGAAGACTTCGCTCGGGAGGACCCATCCAATGGGTCCAAACGAGACGCCATATGCAAACGTAAATGTATAGATTGCACTGTGAAAGTTTTCAGCCTGAGAGGGGCTGAGGCGGAAACCAAAGAAAGCCATACGCAACAGCGGCCCATGCGGCTATTGCATGCGAGCTCCAGTCCGATTGGAATTGCATTACCTGGTCCGCAGTCAGTATTATATAAAAGAAAGGAAGGTAAGCACTAACGAGGACGGCAATGATGAGATGAGACACCGCCATATGTAAACAAGCTACCACCTTTTTCGCGTTAACAGCACAGATAGTAGATGATACAAAAGTAACCTCTTAACAAAGGCTTGCGTCCTGATTGCAGGGTCAACAGCAATATATAAACGGAGAAAAAGAGACATTTACCAACTCGGTCGATATAGATGACAGCGGGTCCAACAGCAATGAACTGGACAATTCCAATTCCCCCAGAAACAATCAGCGAGGTAGTTGCGCCTTTGAGACCGATGCTCTTCACGAGGGTAGGACCGTAATAGAGCAATGCATTGATTCCGCTCCATTCTAAGAGTCATATCAGTCAAGAAACACCAGATAAACTGTGACTTCCGTTGGAAGAACATCATACTACACCACCAACCCGTTGACTCACTGAGCCGATGTCAGCCCCAAACGTCAACGGGACGGAGAGGCCGATCTCGGGCAAACATTCGCCCGAGATCATTCAGCTGTCAGATGTTGAATGGTGGATTGATGTCACTCCCTTGTCCGTGGGACGTTGCCAGCAGCATTACACCGATGTTTTTGCGTGACGTCGCCAATACAACTACGAAGTCCGTACCCGCTCGACCCTCTTCCGCGTCCCCCGCCGCATGGGCATACCGCCCACAGCAGTCGACCCCGCGTAGTCTGCATCGTCCTCATCATCCACGAAAGGCACATCGTCCTCGTCATCTTCCCCTTCGTCACTCCTCACACCATTCACCAGCTCGTCTGGATCGACAAGATCGCTCTCGAGCTCTTCCCCTTCCACCGGCTGGCCCATTTCCGCGGCGACAACTTCTTCATCCGCCTCTGTAACGGCCACGACTGCTCTCCGCTTCTTCTCTGCTGCCTTCACACGACGACGTTGGGCAGTCTTCTCGCGATTTGTCAATCGAAGCTGCTGGGCTTTTGCCGCCATTTCGTTGTGGAACAGATCGCGGTCAGGGTAGATGGGCTTGAGGGTGGTCAATGAGCGGGGCAGGATACGCCGCAAGTGCACAAAGTTGTGGAGGCTGGAGAGATTCAGGACGAAGAAGTCATCATCCCCATGCTGGATGAGGGACTTCTCGCGTGTCGTCTCCTCACGTTCCTGTCGTTCCCTCCCGGACACGACAGGGCTACAACGACCTCGACGGCAGTCATGCTGGACTGAGCACATGAACCGCAGCACACCAGGGCTGACCACAAGCACAGAACGGACGTTGTTCTCCGTGATATCCTCGCCTCGGGGACGGCGAACGACGGGCCATCCAAGGTCAGCATGTAGTTTTTCTGTGCAAATGAACTGCTCCAGCGTCACGAGCACCCGCGCGTCCGAGTTGACGAGGATCTCGACAACACGGCCTAGCAACCACTTCCCGCCATCCAGCACATACGCCCAGCTACCTGGTCGGAGGATATCGCCATTCTGGGCGACTATTGTGCGTGCGTACCGCCATTCGGACTCTAGGTCTGGCTGACAGTCAATAGTGTTGGTCCCAGACAGTGCGGCGGCACGGGTTTCCGCCCATCGAATTGGCGGCTGCTTTTTCTCCGATGCGAGACGAGTCTGGCCACCCACGATGGGTTTGGGTGGAGTCCAGCCAAGGTGCCTTTGGAAGACTGGATCGTCCCTCAGCACGCGAAGAACGTCCTCGCCAGCCTGAACCCAAGCCCCCTGTTGCACGTCCAACCAATACCCGCCGCAGAGGATATGCCGGACACGCTCAATGGAGGCGAATTTGGCTGCGATGTCACGACTAGGTGAGAGGCGGTTGCTGCGTACAGAACACGCCCTAAAAATGGCATTGCAGGATTCAAATACTTCAGTCGCAAACCGAATTGCAGGACCAAAGCGGCGAATGTCGTCGGGGATATGGGCAAGAAGGTGGAGTTTAATCTTGATGAGGATGCGCAGAGGGTCAACGGCGTCAAATGCGTCGAGAAGATTCGCAATTGCGGTACGGAGGTCTTCAAGATATGCATCCATGTCATCGATTTCTGGAATCCAAAGACGTGCACCGAGATCGCCAGCCGTTTTGATGAGGCGTCGCTGCTCGGCTGTGCAGATATCATGAGAGCAGAATGCAAGCGTCTGCATGAGTGTCTTGAAGTGCTTTCCGATGAGGCTGTTGCGGTATTGTACGATATATGCCGCGCGAATGGGTGGGATAGTGAGGCTGGAGGTGTCAGTTGATTGGAGACGAATGGCGAGGAGGCAGCGGTCGCTATCCGACCACTGCTTGGTGTTCATGAAATGCCAGATGTATTTCATGACCCCAAGCAGGACGGTATGCAGTAGTTCGACAGGCGTGTCCTGGCAAGGATCGAGACCCGCAATATCCAGAAGCGGATTGATTTTGTCGCCAGGTTGTGCATCAAGCCATTGTTGAGTGAGACCTGCAAGGGCGTCGATACCAAGGCGGGGATTATCCTCCTTGAGACGTGAAAACTCCACAAGAGTTCGCTCAATCCAGTGTTGCGCGAGTTTGTCTTTTGTGCCGGTCAATGTCTGCTGCTCTTTGATGGATTTCGCGTCGCCGCGAGTTGCTAGAGTGAGTTGGGCTTCAAGGCGATTGCGTGTTTGCGCTGCGGTCCGAAGAACATCGAGGAAAATGTCCACCATGATAACGACAAGATCCTCGTCATCAGCAACTTTGGCGCGAAGGGGATTTGGCATGGTTGGAGTCGATGAGGAAGTCGGTGACCACTGCAGAGGCTTGTTTCCCCACAGAAAGAGGATTTCGGTAAAGTCGCGAGTGAGTTCATCAACTGGGAATGTCTCGATGGGTGTATTCTCGTCGTAGTGCCAAAGAGCAGTCGTATTGTCGTGTGTTACAGCCTGAGCATCGGTGCAAAGCACACCATCATGGATGATAAGGCTGCGAAGCAGCACAAATGACCCATTGGACCGTTCCGCAATTTCTTCAACCCAGAATCGGCGCTGTCCACGAGAGAACATCGGCGTAAGCTGCTTGGGTTCGTATTCCTTCCACCGTTCTGCTTGCCAGATTTCGGAAATTGGAGAACCTGGAGCAACGTCCTCAGGAAAGAGATGAATGTGCGGGGCGACCACTGGGTTTGCGAAATCGCGGCTGATTGTGGCACGAATATCGTTGATATAGAAGACATTCCCCATAGACGATTGAACCCTTTGCGGCTCAGATGACACTGTCTTTTGGAGGAGCTGTTGCATCTTTCGTAGTCCCTTCAGTGTTGGGATGTCCGGGGCGCCAAGGGCACGAGCAAACTGAAGGATGACGCTCATTTGCGCGCTGCTGAACCGGCATCGGGGAAGATTGTCCATAAGATCGAGAAGCATGTTCTTTGTTGTGTCATTTTCAAGAGATTATTGGTGTGAATGCACATACCGGCTTGTTTGGGTACGGAAAGTACCTTCCAGGCTGAATCTCGAGACTCAGATCATCTTCTGAGTCTCCATCATCCGAAATGTCACCTGTCTTCGCCTCTTCGTTATCTCCTCCATCGTCACAACTGCCTTGCTCCATGGCCTCCATCAAGAGGCGCACATAGGCCTCGCGAACACACTCCTCCACCCCCAATACCTCCTGCTCCAACATCGCCTCCTCTCCCGCCAACTCATCTGCGCGCAAATCGACAAGCCGTTGCAGCTCAACTGGATCCCCATTCAGCTGCATCACATTTGCTTCCTCCTTTGCAAAAGGAGAGAACATGGCAAGCTGCTCGTCGCGTACAGCGGAGATGGTGGCGTTGGGCTGGTAGTTGTTAAAGGCGGGAGCGGCATAAGGCTCATGCAGGTGAGCAACTTCGGTGCGGGAATCGATGACACGAGATTGACAAATTTCCATTGCTTGAACATGCAACGGAGCAGTCAAGTGGCGTCGCGCGTTCTTCATCTGGATCCAACCACCCACGTTACGCTTGCCCTCCTTCCGACACACCAAGCATCGAACTTGAGCACCATCGGAAGAGATTTCGAAGACACCTATAGTGTGTGTGTGAGTACACACAAGGGTCGATGACCGTGCTAACAGACCAGCAGGCAGCTCCCAGGGTGCCTTGGGCATCAGGTCCACTGGCCGAAATGGGTGGGAACTGGAGGGGGAAGGGATTAACCGCCTTTGACATTCGGCGCTCAGCGGGATCGACATCGTACGTTTTTTTTTTTTCCCCGCTCTCTCTTCCTTTCCTCATCCCTCCCATCCTTCTACCTCCATGTCTTTGCTGCGGCTCAAGCAGCGCCAGCAGGCAGCAACTCCTATACGGCATCAAGACCAAAACTTCCCTCCTTCATCGCCTCTTGGCTCCCGAAATACGTCCCCAGGCCCGTCATCATTGTCCTTTCCTCCCCCGCATTTCTCCTCCCCCGGGCCAGCCATGTCGCATGGAGCAGCTCCGCCACCGCTGTCAGTTGCCGACCGTATTCGATGCGGGGAGCAGGTTCTCAAGAAGCTCAAGGTGTCCGACCGGTACCAGCCTTTGCTTCGACAGTTTTTCGAGGCACGTTGGGCAAAATTGGTGTTCTGTTTCATGCTGCTGATATACATTGTAGACAAAAAGTCACGAAGAACGCGAAATCATCACATTCGTAGCTACCGTCGCATTTCATGAAGAGGCCATGGCTTTAGCAGTTGTCAAAGCCGAGCAGTGGGCACCAACTAGCGACCAAATGGTCTGTTCCCACATACTGCTATTGTACCGACTCATGCATAGTTGCAGAAGGCTATCCGCAAGCACTCTCGGGTAATGCTGCTGCTGCCCGAGTTGCGCTTCTTCGACAGCGCGTCCGAGCTAGCGTTAACGGTGCGTCAAAGTGTCTTTGTGATACAAGATTCTTCATGTGCTATAGGCTGCGCTTCTGAAGAGCACACGCTACGGGTTTCCCACCGAGGAGAACGACGCTGCGCATGACAGCTTGGTCGTCGTTTGTGCACGCCAGATGAGCCTCGCCAAGAATACACTCAAAACGAAGGTGCGCATATCTCGTTTATCCTTTGCTTCAATTTCAATTTCTCTATAGGTCAAGGAATCCGTTGCTGCTCAAATGCACATCACGCAGCTCGTGCAGGACCTGGTCAATGACTTTGCGCCAGACCTTAGCCCGACCCTTGCCCTGCACCATCGGATTGCTCTCATGGTATGCATATTTCTCTTTGGGCTTATGGACCTGACATTCTTTAGCGCATGGAGATCGAAAAGTCACACCCCAACCGAAAATTTTGGGCCATGGTTGACGATGAGCTGGAGGCACTCTATGGAGCGACACCGGAGGAATATGTTGGGTATGTCCTCTTATTATTTCCATGTCATTACTAACCTTGGTGAATAGAGCGCTCCAGCTCTGCTACGAGCTCGACCAGGAACGTTATCCGCCCACAGCCGGCGCCAATCCGTGCATCTTTGCTACAGAAATACCATCGAAGGCATGGATTCGGTACCTGCGCGCAGAGGCAAAAACGGTCAAGCGAGGCCAGCCGCGCGGTCAGAAGCGCAAGAGTAGGGATCGGGATAACTCGGATAGTGATGAGGATGGCGATGCGGAGCCAGTGGGGGATGGGAACGTGGAGCCGGGTACCTCAGGGTTGCACAGTGTAGTTGAGAACAACATCAGCGATGGTGATGGCGAACCAGTCGTCGATACATTAGATGAATAACCGTAATACATTGTGCTCGCAGTGCTCAAATATTAGAATGTGTGCTCCTTCCTATTCAAAGTATATACTACTAGTGGTAGCCAAATTATAGGCTCTCAGACTGATCTCCAACCCTCATCTTGCGCATGTCCAGGTCAACACGTCCAGAAGACGTCCGTTGTCAACTGAATGTCAGAAAGATCTGACCATTCAATTTCATTCTGACATCACATCAACTTGACGCCGACATCATTACCTGATGTTAGGCGATGTTCCGGGACGACATCACCTCAATGTCAGGCTAGGTTGGTGGTGTAGTAGGACGCCCACCAGCGTGCGTGGGCGATACTTCTTGGAGAACAACTGCCGCCACGCTGAAATCTCGTTCTGGGTACCGGGCTTGGGTGAATCTGAGTCAGATTGTGAAATCAATGCTGCTTCGACACGCATTTCGAGAAGCTCGATCTAAAGCCAGGTTAGCGACAGACCTCGAGAAGCAAGATGAAACCTTTGTAAGCGCGTCATCGCGACCGCCGACCGCGCAGCTTGACCAGACTAGCTTCTGCTTCGTCGTATTTGCCTTTCAGCACAAGCAATCTAGGCGAAGCGGGAAGAAGGAACAACGCCCCGAACGCTAGAAGGACTCCGGGGCCGATCTGGACACCAAGCGGAATCCTCCATGACGCCGAACCTGGGACTGGAGGAGAAATTGAGTATGGAGTCAAATGAAACAACCACCACATACTATTTCGCGTGAAGAACCCAATCCAGAATCCGACAACAACTCCAAGGACGATCGAGAACTGTTCAAGCGCAATGAGCGAGCCGCGTACTTCGGGTGGACTGATTTCCGATATGTAAAGTGGTGAAAGCATGCTTAGAGCGCCGACACCAATGCCGCCAACAGCGCGACCAATGAAAAGGTCTGCGAGTGTTCGCACGAATGTCTGGAAGAGCGTGCCGATGTTGAATATGAACTAAAGGTTATCCGCCCACCAGTGTGGGGCAGGCTAGACCTTGATGGACCGTGATCGCGGCTGTCAAGCAACCGGCTGCAGCCCATCATGACGACGAGGTTGGCTCAGTCCAAGTCAAGTGCAAGTTGGACGGCCCTAAACTTTAAAGCTGTCGTCATCAACGTCGACGTTGCCTAGTCGTCGGGAAGGGGAGTCAGAGGGTTCAGAGGTCAGAGGGCCGGTAGATGAAGTTAATGGCACATATACTAGTATTTACAGCTACAATTATCAGTACATGATTCAGTATAGTCCGAGGCGGCGCTGCTAGTGCTTATTGCGGGCAACATGCGAGTTGAGCGGACTGTCACTCCGCCTCCAAAAACCACGCTACGTCACACGCATGCCATGCAGTGACCGTTGCTTGACAGCCGCGATCACGGTCCAACATGAATCTTGTAAGCTGACTAGGGGTGGCCCGTGCTTACGCAACGGGAAGTTGGATAAATTGGGTGTACTCTTATATTCAAAATTTCTTTGTACGAAAAAGATTGTAACGGGCCGCACCGCCGCCTCGCGGGGCTCGGCGGCGCGCGGCCCAGACTCTCAGTCTTCTACATTTGGTCTGAATCCTTCTTTTGGTTCTGTTTGTGAGCCTTGTTGAGGTATTTTTGTACATATTTAGTTTGAGCCAGTGAAGTTCTTCCTGTGAGACTACAGAGATGTTAGATAATGTATAGTAGAGAAGAGGTGCTTACACTGAGAGGCCCGTGCTGCCTGTCAACGTCCCCGTTGGCACCCATTGCAAGTTCAATCCATTTAGGGGGTTGGTGCTGGTGAGTGGATAGCCCGGGCCCCATAGTACTCGTTGAGCTCGTGTCCTAACCAACAGCCAGCAAGAATAAGTTTTTCATAAACTTAACGGAGAATTCTACGCACATTAAGATGATAGCGCGAAAAGTGGTTGTCCGAGTCACACGACCTCGGGTATGACCGGGCCGAATTGAGCAGAGTGCTCGCAAGTGGAGGTGGATGGCGGGGCCAGCGAGAAGGGAGGCTACTGCCAATATGAGGCCCACTATATAGGCTACCCAATGGCAGAGTGTAGGGGCCCCCAGCTTTCAGTGGCCGCCCGTGGCTCAGCAGAGAGTATGGCAGATATGGTTGACCACCCCCCTGCCTCAAAAGCTCAAAACTGGGTCGTTTTTAGTGCTAAAAACGGCGCATATAGAGTTTTAAAGGTGTATTCAACATCTACATACACTTTTCTGTGGCTAAAACACCTGTTTACATGGGTTTTGAGCTGGGTAAAGTTGTCTATCCAAATCGGGATAGACAACTGAGCCTTCCGATTGGCTCTTCCTTTTTTGGAAGTCACAGCCACCCCGTTCTCTCTTGTATAATAGATGCTCAGCTTACTTATGGGGAGCTTGCGGATAATCACTCGGCTTTCGGGTTTTCTCGGCGATGCCTCGAAAATCTCCCACACTCGACGTCGTGTGGGAGATTTTTCTTAGGTTTTTCGTGAGCTGCTGAATTGGGGAGCAAGCTCCCCAATCAAGGTCTAGCCTGCCCCACACTGGTGGGCGGATAACCTTTAGTACACCACTAACCATATTCATGCCACACTTCTCCGCTTCGAACTCTTTCGACCCTCTCCCATCAATGACGCCCTTCCATCCCGAAGCTCTCTATACAGAGCTGAAATCGCCGCCACCAGCTCTTCCTCTTTCAACGACCATTCAACGGGGAACTGAGTTGCCTCTCCGAGTCAATCCACCCAACCTTGGCGAATCAAAGCCGTTAGTCGGAGCAGAGTGAGCCGGACGATGACGAGGAAGAATGGTTTGACATCGAAAATGTCTTGGACGACGAAGAACAAGGAGCGGGCCCTACTTATCGACCCAGGATAGCCCCAACGTGTCGTTTGTCCATACTTCCCTCGGAGACCTGGCGCAAGACGTAACACCGAGCAATTCTCGCAGCTTCTCTGCCCAGAGCAAAAAGACCAAGTCCGACAAAGACATCGTTTCCCTCACGCCAGGTCGGGCGACGCAGGTTGCGGCTGGAGTCAAATACTGTTTCAGCACGTAACAGAACGCGCAAACTTTTCCTTCGCCAACGCAAACTTTTCCGCCAAACTTTTCCTTTGCCAAATAACTCGTTGGCTACTCCTTCATGGCAGGGCAGGGCAAGAAACCGCACTTGTCCGGATACAATTATGGCGCCATCTCCTCTCTTGTGTTGACTGCCGACCGGTCAGCTCTCCCTCGTCGCGACAAGGAGCCAAATGGTGCACCAACTTCACTCGTTGGTCGTGTCAATCCTCGCGATATGGGCTCCCACGTTCAGTGCGAAACGCCCAAGGACCTCGAAAAGAAGAAAAAGAAGGCTTCCGACGGCCAAGATGCGTCTGAGAAGCAGCCTGCCAAACGAAAGACACAGGCCACTGGGTTTGGGTACACCGATATTATCGAGGCAACCCAGGATGTGGAGGGCCTTACTTATTGACCCATGACGGCCAAAACGCGCGAAGTCTACGAACTCATCCTGTCGTCTGTCCACACTTCCCTTGGAGACCAGGCGCAAGATGTTGTTGTTCGGAGTGCTGCCGACATGGTACTCGAAACTCTTAAAAACGAGAAACTGAAGGATTTCGACAAAAAGCGCGAGATTGAAGAGATTCTTTCAGTCAGTGTGAACAACGAACAATTCTCGCAGCTTGTTAGCCTTTCGAAAAAAATTACCGACTACGGCGCCGAAGATGAGACCTCGGGGGACCCCGACGTCAAAAATATGGAACTGGATGACGAGGTTGGAGTTGCGGTTGTGTTCGATGAGAAGGAGGAGCAGGACGATGACGAAGAAGAATGGTTCGACATTGGAGATGACTTCCAACAACAAGTCCGACAAAGACATTGTTTCCCCTCATGCCATCGACGCATTCTGGGTCCAACATCAAGTTGCAGAAATCTACTCTGACCCAGTCACCGCTGCCGAGAAAACAACCTCCGTTCTCGATCCTCGACTCCGAGTCAAGTTTGCGCGACTGCGAGAACCAACTGATTGAGCTCTTCGAATATCAAAGCTTCCATATCACAACCAGATTCCTCAAAAATCGCGATGTCATTGTCTGGTGCACAAAGCTCATGCGAAGTAATGCTGATGAGCGGGTTAACGTGGAGGTTGCGATGAGGGAAAGGGGCGTGGGTTGGATTCTTCGCGAGCTTTGGGGGATCGTCAGGCTGGCAAATCCAAGCCGTCCGATGCTATGGACGTCGATGAACAGAAACACGACGTGCCCAAGACCGCCACTCTAGCCCCTCGAAACGGACCGTGGATTCGGTACCCATTGCGAGCATTCCTACTTGGGCTCAACCCGCTTTGACTGTCCCACGCCTCAATCCTGTTTAAAGCAAACGAGCCAATCCTGCTTTGTGCCCCGACTGGTGCTGGAAAGGTTTGGTTTCTGCTACTTGAACATATGTTGTTCCTCATGTCCTTCACGAATGTCGCTATGCTCATCCTCAACGAGCTCGGCAAACACCGCGACGAAGAGACGGGAAAATTCGACCTCGATGCCTTCAAAATCGTTTACATCGCCCCGATAAAGGCGCTGGTGCAGGAGATGGTCGGCAACTTCTCGTCCAGGTTGAAGGTTTTCGGCATCACCGTTGGAGAACTGACTGGCGACTCGCAAATGACGAAACAGCAAATTGCAGAGACTCAAATTATCCTCACGACGCCCGAAAAGTGGGACGTCATTACACGGAAGAGCACAGACACGTTACACAAATCTCGTGCGACTAATCATCATCGACGAAATTCATCTGCTGCACGATGAACGAGGGCTTGTTTTGGAGAGCATCATCGCTCGAACTATTCGACGGATGGAGCAGACAACTGAGTACGTCCGCCTTGTGGGGTTGTCTGCCACTCCTCCCAATTATCAGGATGTCGCCACCTTCCTGCGTGTCGACGACAAGAAGGGTCTTTTCTACTTTGATTCGACCTACAGGCCTTGTGGGCTGCAACAACAGTTCATTGGTGTCACAGAGATGAAGGCAATCAAGCGATACCAGATCACCAACGAGGTCTGCTACGAGAAGGTGCTGGATCAAGCGGGTAAGAACCAAACCCTGGTCTTCGTGCACTCTCGCAAAGAAATCGCAAAGACAGCCAAGTTTTTGCGCGATATGGCCGCCGAGAAGGAAACGATTACCCAATTTGTCAAGCCTAACGCTGCCGTCCGCGAAATTCTAGCCGAGGAGGTAAACAACGTCAAGGACAGCAATTTGCGCGACCTTCTTCCTTTCGGTTTCGGTTTTCATCTGGAATGTCTCGTGAAGACCGTGGCCTCGTTGAAGAGCTGTTCGCCGACGGATCCTTGCAGGTCCTTGTTTGTACTGCAACACTCGCTTCGGGAGTCAACTTGCCGGCGCATACTGTCATCATCAAGGGCACCCAAATATACAACCACGAGAAAGGGCGTTGGGTCGAACTCTCTTCTCAAGACGTGCTCCAAATGATTGGTCGTGCTGGTTAACCACAAAACGACACGTACGGCGAGGGCATCATCATCACAAAGCACTCCGAGCTGCAATATTACCTGAGTCTGTTGAATCAGCAGCTCCCGATCGAGTCGCAATTCGTGTCTAAACTGGCCGACAACCTCAATGCAGAAATAGTCCTCGGAACGATCAGAAACCGAGACGAAGTTGTCCAGTGGATCGGCTACACCTATCTGTGAGTTTTTTTAAAATGTTGTTTGGATTATCTAAAACATCCTTCAAGGTATGTTCGCATGCTGAAATGTATGGTGTCGGGGTTGACTACCAAGACGACGATGTCGGGTTGATCCAAAAGCCAGCCGACATTGTCCATTCTGCCGCCGTTCTGTTGGAGAAATGTCAGCTGCTCAAGTACGAACGGTCATAGGCCCCAGAGTACTAAGCTTGGTCGCATCGCGTCGCATTACTACGTGACCTACAACTCGATGATGACGTACAACCACCATCTGCGGCCAACGATGTCGACCCTCGAACCTTTCCGTGTCTTCGCGTTGTCAAATGAATTCAAGCTTCCCGTTCGACAAGAGGAAAAGCTGGAGCTGGCGAAACTTCTCGAGAGGGTCCCGATTCTTGTTAACGAGAGCGTCGAAGAGCCTGCTGCGAAGATCGATGTTATCGTACAGGCATATTCGCAGTTGAGGTCACTACTAGCAGACGGTAAGCAAGAACGATCGCTTGTCCCGCGATACTGATATTTAACCTCATTCCTGCAGAAAATTTCCCTCCACCTTCCGTACAAGCTAGTAACAGGCGACTCTCCGCTGCTGGATCACCTATCGTTTCTATGAGGACGACGAGGATCTTTGTCCCACCACGAAACTGCCAACTGGTGGCTTGTTGGCGACTCAAGCTCACGCAAGTTATTCGCAATCACGCTTGCGTAGAGTCTAGCTTGAGAGCCCGGCATCAAACCACGACATCAGTCTGGAGGGTGAAGTTGAAGATAGCTACCGCGAGGACGACAGCAGAGACGAGATAGATCTGTCCTACACATGTATCATATATTTCTCAGTTAGTTCTTGCTCCTCCTTGGCTGTGATGAGTGAGACTTGAAACTTGAAGTGTTGACAACTGATCAACGTTTCTGCCCGGCCGATCCGTGACACTCCTCTTTTGCGCCGCCACGTTCACCAGTCCCAACCATATGCATTCTCCACTCGTTCAGCTTGGAGTCAACAACTCTCTACTGGGCTGTTGTCCAATTAACCTCAAGCTTCGGCTTCACGTGCAGCAATACAATTTGCTGCGCAACCTTCTTGTTTTCAACTTCCATCCTCCGAGTCAGGCCACAGCATCCACACTCTCTGGGCCTCCTCCAGTCTTGGTTGTCGCGCCTTAGAACAACCACAGTCTGGTGCTCAACACCGGCAGTTCGTATCTCAAGTATCAACAATGCCACCGAAAAGGACGATTCGCCGCAAAAGCTTGGCCCGGAGAGCCACAGAGCACTCTACTAGACCCAAGTCAGGCCTTATTTTTACAACAATCTCATTCGCTTACCAACTCCTTTCCAGTAAGAGACGCAAAATGACCCCGCCACACGAAGACGACTACAAGTTGGGTGACCTCAATCGACGACAACGAGCTATTAGCCGTTTCCTTCAAAATCACGATTGCACCCTTCTCTCGATAGCCCAATACCTTGGCTATGACTCGGGTAAAACTGCGAGCATATTCCGATGTCGCGAGAATAAAAACTGGGTCGTCGACACTGTGGAAGACGATGCAAAGTGGTTAGAAGGGTGGGACTACAAGGCCGCTCTAGCCATCACTCAAAAGTATATGGACGAAGCCAAACATGTGCGTTGTACAGTACTGTACTGTGTGTTGACATATCTGACTTTCCGCAGAAACACGGAACATTGAATAAGATCGACACCGAGGGCGAGGAAGCCAGCGAAGAGGATGAACTCGAGCGCGAGGATAGCGTCGAGTACGAGAATGGCGTCGAGGGCCAGGAGAATGAACTCGATAACGAAGATGAAGCCCAGCGTGAGAACGGCGGCGAGAGCCAGGATGAACTGGAGTATATGGATGAAGTCCAGCGCGAGAATGGCATCGAGAGCGAGGATAACGTCGGGTGCGCGCTGCAGGCTTTCAACCAAGGGGATGGGCAGACAAATGGGCAATCCAAGAAGACCGAGGGAAAGCAGTGCAACGTGAAGAAGGAGGAGGCTATCGACCCCATTCTCAAGATTGAGAACGTGGAAATGGGAGTGGAGCATAATTCAGCCTTGGATGCGGTCGCGATTGCGATTGCCTCTGCAACTGTGCAGCTAACTCCCACCGACTACACCAACGACAACGATATTCGTCCGACTTTGCCGTGCCACGTTATGCCGCCCGTTGCGAACACTCAATCGGGGCACGCACTCACCAACAACACTGCGCTGACCCCCCATACGCCAACCAATAGCAACGGCCCTGTGCCAATCAAGAGCCCTTCGCCTACGCCGGCCAACGTCCCTACTCCTTCGCCAACCAAGAGCCCTTCGCCAACCCATGTCCCTTCGCCGGCCAAGGACACCGTGCCGACCAATATTACCGTGCCGACCAATACTACCGTGCCGACCAATACTACCGTGTTATCGACCAATCTATCGCCCACCACCAACGACTTGAATCCTCCAACATTGACTGCTTTTCTAGTCAATATACAACCAGATCTTTCTTCCTATCTCGACCTCCTCAATAGCTGTGGAATTTATCAAGTGGTCGATCTTGCGTTCCTGGTCGGTCGTGATTTGATGCAAACTCGAATCCTCGTCGAGCGTTTATTACACCTCCCATTCAAAAAACTGGGTGAACTATCAGGAGCATTCGTCAACCCAGTCATGAACAGCGTAGAATGTCTTGCACTCGCCCAGGCAATTCTTGCCTCACCTTCCATCGCAACCACGCCAGAAGCACACTGGCCAGCAGAAATGTCTGCTCTTGCAAATGTTTTGCACCAAATCCATCCGAAACTGGCACGTTTTGTTCCTCTCCTCCGTCACTGCGGCATCAAACAACCATCGGACTTGTACTTGTTGGTTTCAGGGGATTTCGTCGGCACGTACACTCGCATCGAAGGTGTCTTCTATCTACCCATGAAGAACTCCGTAGAAGAACTCGTTGCCGAATACGATGGGCCTTCGATGTCCAAAGTTGAATGTCTTGTACTCACCAACTACGTTATGAAGCTTTTCGGACAACATTCTACTAGAGAGGCATGGAGGCAATACTTTGGGGCTTGAGATTTGTGACTACCTAGCTATCTTGTACTTCCCTTTGCAATCAAGCTCTGTTGACATTTCAAAACATGGTTGTGAATGTCGGTGGCTAAGAAGGTGGCTATAAGGGAGTTGCAAACCATGATAAGACTGATTGTTCTGAGAACATTTATGCCCGGCTCACAAGCCGCTTATGATCACCTTACACACGGTGCCAAGGGTTTCAGTATGCCTGTAAGACGCTTACAAGGGTTTGTGCGCATCAAAAAAGGCTGTTACAATGAACCGACTAATTTTGTGATGCGTACAGGGTACATACTACATAGGTCATGCCCTGGAGAAGGAGTCATGTGGACCAGCCTGAGTTTCACTGGCTCACCTTACTTCCGTCCGCTGTGCTACCCCCTCACTTTTTCGAACTTGTTCTCAGTTGGGAAACCAAAAAGTGGGTGCGTTGGGATCAATACAGGTCTGATGACATCCTGCCAGCCTCGAGTTCCATGACGTCGATCACGAAGCTTCAGCGCTTCAGCTTCCGCAAAACCTTGAAAGGTTTTTCAAAAAAAAAAAAAAGACCTATATATAAGTGTATATTTCGGACCTGCTTCCAACCTCCCTCTGCTTTGACACTCATCAAGAGCTTTCCTCATATGCCCTCGCTTCTCCCTTACGCTGCCCCAGATTACGTGTATATCGACCGGTTGGAACTAGCAGAGTATCATCTTGCCCATATAGAAGATGGTGCAACTGTGGGCTTCGATATTGAAGCTGATCACCGTGGGCTAGGGCCTCGTCGGTCTCGCACGGCAAAGAAGGAACTCCTTCAGCAGCAGATCCAGTCCCTGGGCACCTTCGTCATTGACTGGAATCGAGTCAGTATCTGCGTCGTCCAAATTGCCACTACTTCAGAGGTCTTTGTTATCCACCTTCGACGCATGCAGGGTGCGCCTTTATCCAGCTTTCATATCTTTTCTAAGCTTAATGACTTAATCGCTTCAGCGCTGCCCAAACAACTTGTGCGGATATGCACCAGTAACCAAATAGTCAAAGTCGGGGTTGGGATTTATGGTCAGTTTTCAATTGTGTTTGAGTACAAGATTCAGGCTTCAATCCACCAGGTGACGGGCAACGGCTGTGGGATAGCTTTAGGATCAACTTAAATCGGGCGCTTTCCCTCGGACATTATGCTAGACTGGTGTACCCGGACAGTTTGCAAACAGGCTGTCCGTTTGGAACTGAAGCAGGGTTAGCAGCAATAGTAGAGATTACCTTGGGCAAGAGCCTGTCAAAAGAACTGCAAACTTCCAACTGGGGTGCAACCATTTTGTCTTCGCAACAACTGGCCTGTAGGTTGCAATCGGCTTCCTGCGAGCATGCAATTGACTTCTTTTACCAGATGCTGCTATAGACTCGCATGCTACCATGTCTGCGTATATGACACTGCAGAAAACAGTCGCAAGAGCCAACTTGATCGTCGACGAAGACTGGTACACTTGTAACTCATCATCTACAGAAGTCGAGTTAGGTGTGGCACGGAGGAGTCATGGATACCATGGTGCCCTTGGTGGTCCTCGGATGGCACATTTTGCGGTATCACTTCCTTCCCGCCTGCTCGCGTCTGTTGCATCGGTGCTCTGATCAAGGGGGTCCCAAGATCCTTATCACGGACATGGGGTAGGGGGGGGGGGGGGTCCCCAGACATGCTGAAAAAAACTTTTGCTATACCAAAGTTTGGGGGGGTTTTGGTAGGTTTGAGGGGGTGTTTGGATTATATGTGTAGCATTCTAGCATAGAATGCAAGGTGGGTACTGACTAGCCCTACTATTTGCTTATGGCAAGGCTCTCAGCAGTCCAGTTGGGCTGTAGGTGACTAGCCTTACAATTTATCATTTATATTTCATCACCTATAATCACAGGAAGCCTACCAGGGACTCTGTAAAGACTCAATTGCTATGTACGAGGAGTAGCCCGTGCTACGCACGGGCGTGTCGTTGCCTGCAAAAGTTGTGTCCCAAATTAGGAAATCCTAACTGGGCCTTCCTATTGGCTCATCAGAGCTGTCACACATACTCTCACGGGTTCTCTCTTGTATAATAAGATTACTCAAAAATAAATACATTCTAATGAATGTGGCTGGAAACATAGATTTTATCGCCGCTTTTGATCGCATCAATAGGTCACATGATGTTCGATCATGGGAATATATTACCCGATATGGTAAGGGGGGAGGGGGGGGGGGTCCCAGATGGCCTGAAAAAAACTTTTCGACAGTATATCCAATTTTTGAAAGTTGGGACCCCCTTGGCTCTGATGTTTGGACAAGTATGTTCTGATAAAGAAAGTCTCAAGTAGACCTAGCTCTCTATATATATATCGTCGTTCCACCTGTGGTAGTTTTATTCCCTGAACGACCATCGCCTTGAATTTCTTTGATCTGATCGGAGGGTTGGTTGAGCGTACCCCTCCCTGGCCGGTTTGCACCTGCACATTAGGAGATAGCTAGGCTTGTTCAAAGAGAAGATTACAGGCCATTGCGAAAAAAACTTATGCGGAGTCCAAGGATGATGCGCGAACAGACAAGCATGGCAACAGGAGCCTGTCAGAGCGTGTCATTTGAATAGAAAAAATGAAGTTCACAGTTGTGTGCCGCGTAAGGCAGCGCCGAGAAGCATGAACATGCTGCCAAAGATGATGACTTTCAGTTGCGGCGACCCAAGGTATCGCTCCCGTAGGAGACGGCAGGAAGCACGATGATCTCTCCAAGAGAATAGGCGGAGGACATAGGATCGAGTAACGTTGACCGAGGAGAGTAAAAGATTATCGAAATGAGTAGAGCCACAAAAAATGTCCATTTTATAGAGTTGCGCACCTGTTCACCGCTTGCAAGCCGTTCAATATCGAGGAGTCAAAGCTAAGGGAAGTCAACTCAACATGGATCAAAGCTTTTTCAGGCATACCCGCTGGTCATCTTGACGCCAATACATGTTGGGAAGGAACAACAGTAAGTAGGTAGAGGTAGTGCAGATTAGGCTTCTTGTACCATGGAATCGTGTCCTCTGCTGCGAGCTGGGAGACAATGGCGTCCTCAGACGAGGTTCCGCGCTAGGCGGACATGGCGTGAGGGTAAAAGATGCTCAACCTGAGGTTCTGTGCCTTATGCACCACATTCAAAGTCATTCTATAATGTATTGCTTAAAAGTTTTCGTGATGAAGATTGAGAACAGTTCAGTAGAGCATTCTTGGCGTGCCCGCGCAGTATGTGCGGGACGGGAGGCGCGGGAGGAGAAGATCTTGTGAGAGTTTGGGGAGAGTCATGTGTATCGGAGGCCGACTGTAAGAATGGAGGAAAAGTGGCGCCTAGTCGTCGATAACAAGTGATCGGGAGCTGAAGGAGTGCGAAATTCACGAGCTTTAGGCGCATCTGTTGCCTGGTGCTAGAGAAATAAAAGCGCAAGGGTCGACGCCAAGGTCGACGTTCATCGATGCATCATCGTTGTCGTCCTGAGGCTTTTTCGCAAAAAAGAAGGTTCGGCCCAGGTGGAGAAGGCAGAGGAGATGCAATTGAGCTGTGTGCGGGTGAACGTAAAGACGTGTTTTCTGAGCGTTGATTTGCGTTCGACGGGAGAAGGGTTGGATTGTCGGTAGATGGGGGCAGTTGCCAATAGAATGGTAAGAAGGTATTAATACCAGAGCTGTCGTTGTTCTGAGTTGACAATGTACCATTTGCGCTATCTTCTTCGTCAAGCCCAAAGTATATGCGCTCGAGGTTGTATTTCTCTGTTCATATACGCAATTTGCCCGATGTTATTCGAGACAGCATAGAGCAGACTCCGACTGATGTCTTCTGCAGAGAATTTCACTTTCTCGCCACCCTTCTTGAATACCTTGCCAAACGAGCTCGCAATCATTGTCGACTTGAGCCCGCTCCAAAAGAGCTGTTAATTCAGCATCTATAGTGTCCTTCGTCACTTCTAGCCCCGGAGATGATTGGAGCACGGGAGGTGATGGTGCAGGCGGATGTATGAGATAAGACCAAGGCGAATTGCCAGAAAGCGAGGGGGGATAGTTGAAAGTTGGTAAAAGGCCGCGTTAGGCGGTTCGATGGGTAGCGCAAAGCCCGAGCTAGTCACTCCTGTCTGCACCGCAATACTTCCGCCGGTTTGTGATGAGTTATTGGGAAGAGGTTCCGGGTCGGGTGTCGTTGGGCGATCAACTGTGGCTGCAATATCAGAGTGTTTTTCGGTTGGGTGTATGCGTAAAGGACGATTATGGGTAGTAACAGAGGTTTCGCTGGTATATCGACTGGTTGGAAGTGCACGCTTTTCGCGTATTCCACGAGCTGAGCGACTTGTCAATTTCAGCATTACTTCATTAATGTGTAACGCACGATATGATTGATAGTTGTATCCATTCGCAGGTACCTTCGATAACAATGTTCCAGACGGTATGCCTTTCACCTATCGTCTGACAGTGACAACGATGGCATGTCGGCATCGCAAGACTCCGTGGCTGACCAAAAGCGAAATGTGCGTAGCGTAAACCTGTCGCTGCGTTTGACTCGACGTTATATAGGGTTGTTGTGGAGATACGATACCAGCCCAGTTCCTGCGCTACCACCAATCGCGCCTGAGTTTCCTGGAGTCAAAGATAGCCCCGAAGAATGGACCATTTGCGAAGCAACAAGTTCCTTGGGGCATGTATGTTTTCTCGTTGACATTCCCTTTGGCAGCCCTTGATACTCACCAACAGCTATTGTCGTCTATCGAAGTCTTCTTGGTGGATGGAACGATACCGTTCCATCTGCAACATGCAAAGACACCACCTGATCTTGCCGTTAAAGTGACAATAACCCGTCGAAATGGACATGGGCGATCGAGTAGCAAAGCAATGTGTTTGTTTCTTTGTTTTGTGTTGAGCTGGGGGAGGCAGAAATACAACAACGCGATGACTGTTGGGTTTGGTATGACCGGGCACGGGTAAAGGACCCGGCGTCGCTGAGTCCGGTTGAATGATTCAAATGTGCGGCAGTCGGTTTGCTCATACATGGCGCAGGACATGCTGGCGGTGGAGATTTGGGTCCCAGGCGACCCACAGTCGAAGGGGTTTTTCGGGTATCCAATCAAGCTGACGGACCGGAATTACGGAGGGTGATGAGGGAGATTGGATGGCCAAGAACTTGAATGAAGTTGAGACATTGCGCTCAGACTATCACATTTCTTCAACAGAGGATCGACAGTGTGTCGATAATGTCGTCGAGAAACAGAAGATTGGTCGAAAATAAGAATGCGCCCCACGTGACGATGGATCAAAAGACAAATTTTCTTTTCGACCGTCTCCTCATCATGCCTGCTACACGCAAAACTGCCCGCCGAGACACAGAAGTCATCACACTAGACGACAACTCTTCTAAGGCCGTCGCTAATAAGCGCGCAGCTAGTCGCACTACTACCACCATCACCACCAAGAAGACAGTCGGGCAGGTGGCACAGGCTCGGAAGAAAAACCACCGCCCTGCCACGCAGCTGGATATAATCGAAATATCGTCCGACGAAGATGAGGTACCCCCTCCTCCCAAGGCGGCTGCTCCAGCCGGTGGTGCGAAGATGGCCAGAATGCGAGCGCGTCTGAAGCAACTGGAAAGGGACAACCTGCGTCTGGAACAAGAGAACAAGTTGCTGATGCAGTGTGTATGTCTGACCCAACATGACCATTGGATCGCACTGACTTGATACAACAGTCGAGCGAACTGGACGACGGTGTTTCATGTGAGATATGCAGTTGCAAAATGTGGTCTCCTTTCATGTGTGTCATCTGCTTCATGAACAAATCTTTGCTCATCGCTCTCCAGTCTAGCCGAGTGCGGGCATACGTTCTGCAAGAGGGACCTCGAGAGGTGGTTTCGCGACACGCTCACCCGCCACCAGGCCACCTATCCCAACTACAACGTGAACCAGCACCACCCCTACGCCCACATCCCCGGTTATGCTATCCAAACGCCACAACCCACGGTAAGCCCCGAACTTTCTTCAAGACCATCCCTTATTAATAATCCACACCCGTAGTACACATGCCCAAAATGCCGCACGAACATTACCACTCAGCCGATCCAAAACTTTGCCGTCAAGCATCTCGCCCGAGTAGTGGCGAAGCAGTCCAGAGAGTCCAGCCCGAAGAAAGTTGGTTGCAACACAGCTTCGCCATGGTCTCGTTTCTTTGTCCGGTAGTTTCCGGCCTCTTCTTGGTCAACATTGGCAATTGTGCATCTATCATTACAACCAACTTCATTCTACGATTACTTTTTTGCACCTACTTGTGAACTGTAGCTTCATATTAGTTTCACCACGGTCCGATCAAACTCATCCAATCCTCTGCGACACTTCTTCCCTTTGTGTCTCAATCGGATTCATCTCGACTTGTTGAAGCAGCGGAAGTGCTTCGTATTGTGCAAGTAGATTGCCGTCTAGTACGCCCTTGGACAGGGGGCTTGGAGTCAAAGTCATTGCGCACGGTTCTCCAAGTCGTTAGTGCGACGCAGGCGCGTGGTGTCACGTGCAATGATGACCGGGTCCTCCTGCACACGATGAGCAAAATCGACCTGATAGAATCTTGCGGAGCTAAGAAGACATGGTTAGTATGATCAAGGACCGATCCATCAACATTTACCTTGAATATCGCTGGATTGGACTGAGCGATGCGAATGAGAATAGAGAGAATCCTTATGTGGAACCAAATGTATTCTGAGTGATACTAAACTAGTACCCACCCATCGTCGCTCGGCGAGTCACGCGGGTGCACGATCTAATCGTCTCAGAGAACATTGTAAGGTTGTTGGTGGCGGGGAGCGCAGTGACCCCGCCTGACGTACCACTCGGAGGAATGCCTTTACGCACACCACCGCCCGGCCAGACCGTGGCACGGTCCGACAGGCGGAGGTAGTGTGGGACTCGGGGATAGCTCTTGATGGCTCCAGACACCCAAGGTCTCCTTCATCGCCGCTACCCAATACCCACTAAAACTCCGCTCTCCCTGGTCCAGTCTCGAGGGAGATAGTCTTCGCTATCTAGCATTCCGGCCCACGTCCGCAGCACGAGGGATTTGCGCACGGCTCTCGAGCCGTATTTTGCCCTGTTTGTTAACAGCCGATCGATTGTTAGTCTGCGGTTGATCATCTCCCTCCACCTATTGCGAATCTCGGGTGTTGAGGGCTGTTTCTCGTTGATGACCCGTTCGTTCCGTATACGCCATATCAGGTGTGCGGACTCAGAAACTACAATCCGGAATAGCCTTGATATTCCGGGGCCGTTTCTGGGTTGTGTGGCTTTCTTCTTCATTAAGCCACAGGCCATGATTTCGCCAAGGAGTGGCTTGGTTAGTGGAGTGCCTGTCTTCCGCTCCCAGAGCTCGCTGACGAGTTTCCAGATTTCTTCCTGTCCCGGTGCGTCGCAGCTCGTTAAGATGTGGCCCATGGTTTCTTCGCACTGGCAAGTTTCGCATATGGCTCTGTCTTCGAAGCCGTTGAAGTTCTTCCAGCGGTTCCCGAGTACATATCCCTCGTGGATGACCAGCCACAGGAACTGTCGTATGTTCCTCGAGATGTCTTTATGGCGAATGGATTTCCAGATTTGCGATGGAGAGGGGACGCCGCCGTCGTCAAGTTCTGCTGCATCTTGGGCAAATACGAGGTTAGTGTTTGTATCCCTGCGGTCCAGCGCCTCCTGGATCCGCGGCTTTTCTGCTTCAATTGCTTTAATTGCTTGGTAGGCTGTCGCTTGTGTCATAGACTTGAGTTTAGCTCCGGGAAGGAGGAGCTCGGGTGGGATTGTCGTGTCGATACTCGGCGCATTGTCTTCTCGTCTTCCCTCATCCGCCAACCGGTCTGCTTCTTCGTTCCCGTGAACGCCGCTATGGCCTTTCACCCATTTGAGTATCGTTGGGGCTTTCCTTTTCCTGATTCTCGCGCTTATTGTCCTCAGCAGGTCACCGTTTGTGTTTCGCATGAACCCTTCGTCTTCCCACCTCTGGAGGTGTTTGGTCATTCCTTCGACAAGATACCTTGAGTCCTTACCATTCAGACTGTAATTCATCGCACGCGTGATTTTGAAAGTCTTGCGTTTTCCTAGCCAACACCGATGATACGTGGAGCCTTCTTCTCGACCTCCCTCTTCGTCTTCTTGCATGTCCTCATAGAAGAGGTATATCGGATTGCGGCGACCACGCTACCATGTATCAGCTAATGTACGAGTGGTCTCGAAAAGATGTACCTTGACTGGTTTCTTTTGCGCATGCTTGCGACCGTTCCTTCCATTGACGTCGGGCGTCGTTCTGTCATGAAAGTCCAACTCCATCGTCGCTTTCGGGGTGGAGACCACAAATACTGCAAACGGTGATACTGGAGGAGCGACGGGAAGAAGAACCATCCTAGAATGTGAAACATTGAGCAACACAACTCATGATTAACTGAATATTACACACCAATAGCCAACGCCAGAAAACCTGGGCAAACGACGAAGTAGGTTGCTGCGAATGCAAGCTCAAAGTGATGAAAGGGTTGAAGCCATTTTGAAGGAGAGCAATAATGAGCGATTGGCCAATTGCCGGAAACAGGAAAAGGGCAACGTTGAGCTATCCAGCACAAACCATTCGACGCTATTGTAAATGGCGAGGAATGGAGGATTGCGCCTCGTTCTGAGCATAGATATCAGTAAGAGCGCAGAATTTGGAATTCAATTACGCACTTGGTGGTCCAGTTTGCTGAACGCGTGAAGATGGTCGCATTGTGAGTGTATAAAAGTGGATCGAGCCCGCCGGAGCTTTCTGGCTTTTATTGAGCAAGAAAATAATGATATCATTGGAGAAACGCACCTCGCTGTTGAAATAGAGCGTCATATCATGCGGAGGGTGGAGGACGATGGTGCGCGATGGTGCTGGCTGGGGGCTCAAAGGTCGAGCCGCTTGCGTCCACTGCACATGGCGGTGCTCGTCGTGGGGCGGCGCTATCACAGGAATGCATATCTGCGCCAGCGGAGATGTCCTTACCGTGCAGGGCTGTTGAGTTCGTGCGAGGAATCGGAGTGGGCAGGCAGCGTGTGAATATGGTCGGCTGAAGACCCGATATGATCGGAAAATACGCCCGTTGGCGTATCACAGCGTTACTATGCGATGGGTAACGCACCTGAGGCTTCGCTCAAGCACCTTTTGGCTGAAGCTCAAACTGGAGTTATGCTCCTTGCAACGGCACCGGCAGTTGCATCCCCAGCAAGCGTCTCACCCCCCATTACATCAGCCCCAATCGTGTCACCCCCAGTCGCACCACCAATTGCATCCTCAGCAGTCGCGGCACCATTTACGACATCAGCAGTCGCGACAGCTGCAATAACCGTCCCCGCCATCCGTAGTTGTACCGCCGGCTCTCACAACAACAAACCCAGTGTTGAACAACAATCCGTTCGACGAAGCTGCTTTCCAAGAAATTGTTGATGCGCCGTTTGGACGTTGTCCCGCCTGCAATATACCATATGACATTATTCCGTCTCCAAAGCTATTCCGGATGCAACGCGAACTGGAGCTAGGTGCGATCTCCGGCTACCAGTACTGCCAGCAACACCACGCGGAAGCAGCAGTGCTGCCGTTGGGGCGAGAGGAAGGTTGGCCTGAGACTCTTGACTACTTGGGGTTGTATCCGGCGAGTTGTGCCATTATCGCAGACGTTTTTGAGCCTCTGCTTGACGACCCTCATGCTAGCACATTCTTCGAGAGTGCAGTTCTTCGCCAAAAGCATAACGCTGAGTTTCACGGACATGCAGGATAGTACGTCACGTCTCCCTTCATTCTTCCAATCATAAACTTACCTGTTGTCGTAGTTTTGGAACCCTCGGCTTAGCGCAGATTTCGAAAGCCGTCAACGACTACTATCAGCAGCAGGGAAACCAGACGAATCTCGCGATATATCAACCGCTCAACAGTTCGTCTTTTATCCACCAGGTTGTCATACCAGAAGTCCAAGTTGCGCTAATCATGGCGGCTCTCAATCAAGACCCTGAACAAGCACAGAGGACTCTGCTTCTCAGCGAGGAGTTTGGACGCGTACTCCATTCTACCGTCGACACCGGTGTGGCTGCTCAGCCCTTCCCTATACCCTCGCCGCTTTCTCCCTCAATTGACCTTCCATTGTTCTCATTCGACGAGTCCGAACCTGTTCAATCCGGGCGTTGGAGCTGGGCCGGAGGCTGGTGCGATGGCTGAAAGCTTGTGTGTCTTTTGTGATGAGCCGCTCCCAGCGGTTTTGTCGCCGACACTGCAACAAATGCGGGAGCAACTTGAGGATAATCCACTTCATCGAAACATATCATTCGGAAAGCGGATCGACTTCTGTTTACGCCACAAGCTGGAGCGTTCAACATTCCCAACTGCATATGCCGAGGACTGGCCATTCGCGCCTGACTTCTCCTCGCTTCTTCCACGAACATTGGCGCTTAAACCTGCACTCAACGAGCTGTTGGAAGATATTGACAACAGTAGATTCTTCCGCGAATCTTGCGATGATCATGTTCATATTTCGCAAAACTCCAAGCACCACTGAAGAACTAATAGACACGCGACGAGCGAAGTTTGGGGCAGCATAGTGAGCTTCTTATTTCGTGTCAATCCCTGGCATTAACTCCCTCTACAGCTATGGCGAGCCTGGATACGAAATTATTTCCATAATTATTCGGGCCATATTCCCTCGGACGCAGTCGCTCGTTGACATTTGCCGACCACTTCTGTACGATATTTTCATCCGGGAGGTTCTGGTCCCGGAGACCGTTCTCCGTATCGTTCGTCAAGACCGTGGCATTACAATTGCAGCTGCCCGGGCTCTTGTCATTGCCACTTATGAGTTCGGAAGAGTACTTCACCCAGACGGCAGCGAGGCACAAGCATGTGACGCTGCCCAGCACTATCTTGTAAATATAGCAAACAATATATCATAGACTGTCTTGTACATTCAATAGTAGTCTGGAATACATGTATAACTGTTCTAGGCATCTCCAAGCAGCTCTTCGCGAGGAATTGAGTGAGGAAGGCAACCACGCTGAGCTAATAGCTTGACCATCCAAATATTCCGGCGTCGAATCATCTCATCGAGGAAGAATTCATAGCGCTCCACAGGCATTTCGCGCACAATTGATTGAAATCCGCCAAACCATGCGTTGGTTTGTTCGGCAGCAGATGAGTTGAAGCGCCA